GGATCCATCCAGCTCCTGAATTCCCTCAAATCCTGGATCCATCCAGCCCCTTCCCTCAAATCCCGGTTGCCAACCCCTCCGGGTGTCCTTGGAGTCCCACACAGGACCGGGAAAAGGGATCAGCTCCTTTCCCATCCCACCCCAAACGCCTCTGGAAAGATCCTCGTGGCTCCCAGGGTGCGGGAATGGGAACCCGACCGGTTTTCCCGTCTGGAATTCCAGGTGATCCACTCGAAGAACCTCCTGCGCAGCGGGACCCTCGTGGGCTCCTTCAAGATGGACGTGGGGACTGTTTATTCCCAGCCCGGTAGGAAATTCGGGAATGCCGCTGGGATTGGTCCCGTGGGACCCACGGGGAACATCCCTGCAGGGGAACAGCCAGGGAGGGGCTGCTTTCCTTGGAAAACCCTTCAGGCATCTGGAATGTTCTCCAAGCTCTCCTGGGATCCTTCCCTTCTCCAGCCTGGCCATTCCCAGCTCTCCCAGCCTGGATCCATCCCCTGCCATTGGATCCATCCCCAGCCCAACTCCTCCCTGGGAAGAAGTTCAGGGAACAAGGGGGTTCCCTGGGAATCTTGGGGCTCAGGGCAGGGTCTCCCTTCCCCTTTCCTGCCTTTTCCATCCCCACATTCCATAAAAACCACTGTGTGGATCCTTTATCCTGGGATCGTGGAATGGTTTGGGTGGGAAGGGACCTTAAGGATCATCCCATTCCATGGGCAGGACACCTCCCACTATCCCAGGGAATCCAACCTTTCCTTGGACACTCCCAGGGATCCAGGGGCAGCCACAGCTTCTCTGGGAATTCCAGCCCAGCCCCTCCCCACCCTCCCAGCCAGGAATCCCTTCCCAATCTCCCCCCCAAATCTCCCCTTTCCTACTGGGATCCATTCCCTGGGGCCTGTCATTCCAGGCCCTGATCCCAAATCCCTCTCCCGCTCTCCTGGAACCCCTTCAGGCTCTGGAATGTTCTCCAAGCTCTCCCGGGATCCTTCCCTTCTCCAGCCTGGCCATTCCCAGCTCTCCCAGCAGAGCCCGAGGTGCCTCCAGGGTGGGAAGAAGGTTCTGGAGCGTGTGGAGAAGGGACAGGGGTCGATCAGAGCTGTTGGGCACCGAGTCCCAACCACCCCCAGCACTGCCCAGGCCACCCCTGCCCCATGTCCCCGAGTGCCACACCCCGGTGCCACACCCCAGTGCCACACCCTGGTGCCACACCCCAGTGCCACACCCAGATACCACACCCAGATGCCACACCTGGGTGTCACACCCACGGGGATGTTCAACCCCTCCAGGGGTGGGGATTCCGCTCCCCTCTGGTTTGTCCCCAGTGTCTCTTTTGTCTCCAATGTCCCCCTCTCATCCCCAGTGTCCCCTCTCATCCCCAGTGTCCCTTTTTATCCCCGGTGTCCCCTCTTGTCCCCAGTGTTCCCTTTTGTCCTCAGTGTCCCTTCTCATCCCCAGTGTCCCTTCTCTAGTGACCCCTTTTGTCCCCAATGTCCCCTTCTCGTCCCCAGTGTCCCCTCTC